ACCCAAGAGATGAACACCGCTTTAATTGATTCTAGAATAGAAGCTGAACACCTGTATAACTCAGAGGATTGCCCCAGGAAAGATAATGGAAGGAAAATCGGAATTATGGAACTTACGAAGCGAATTTTTGAAGAGAAAGGATATGCTTATTTACAAAAAAGCAAAGGAAACTTAAATGATCAATATGCAAATCTGATGAAATCAACGAAGACTTGTACGAAAGCATTACCAAGGAAATGTTAGAACAAAAGAACGCAGAAGATTCTAAAGACCAGGAATGTAGTCAGAGTCCCACCAGGGAATACCAAAGAAAACAAACACAACAAGAACAAAGACCAGACATCACTCCACAATCAAATATTACTCCAATATTCAATGATTTATCTAAACTCGCAAATTCCATCTACTTAGAGATCAAGGACGATAACAAAGAGTTTAAAAACCGAGAACAAACGACATTCACTAAACGCCAACCAAACAAAGAAGACCTACAAGTGTTACAAGCTCTCGTGACATCACAACCGGACGTTAACCATCTCAATACCTATGGAAACTCAATAGCTCTTATCGTAGATGAGCACGCCACCCCAACAAACCAGCGGTATCGTGATGAAAGTAACATCAGAACGAGACTATCGGGTCGAGCTTCGGATGATTTGCTAAGAAATGTACTACAAATCTTCGAGAGATCACTACATTTTGATGGATATCTTTGATATACAAAGAATTTTGTAGTCTTTCTAACTATGATCAAACACTATATATCTTTTGGAAGTACGCACAGAGTTTTGAAGGCAGAAGGCAAGGAATTCGATCGGCATTTGCCATCGAACTAAGTTCGTAATTTGCCGCAGAAAAGCCACTGAGAAAGAGCACTCCAAGTAACATATTTTCTTACATTTGTAACAAATAATTTCAAAGCTAAATGCTTTTTTAAGCCACATGGAGGATAGGGGGATTTGTTTGAAGCCAGTATCTATGCCACAAAGTTCGCTTTTACCCTTAAAAAAGCCACTGACAGAGATAGAAACGGAGTGACCGTTCGTACGGCATAATAAACGTAAACATATTGTAAACCTTTGATTATGGCAGTCGACTTTTGGTAATTTWAAAAAACTTGAATCGAACTATCCTATGTTTTTTAAGAAACAATRAGTGATACGAAAGAGCTTTACTAAGTCATATTCCATGAAAGTTTAGGTAATGTTTATGGTMTTTTATGCTGGTCACGAAGTTCTTGTTTTGAAGCCGTGTGTCAGCATAGTCTGATAGTCTGCTAGTCCATCGTTTTTAAGTGTATAAAAGCTGTTCGCTTTCTATTTCTGAACGAAGATAGGATAGTTAAGTTTCGAACAACTCTTTTTAACATACTTGAGAACTACAGAACAAAATTGACTGCCGTACGAATAGACTATAAGAGCCCTCGTATGCAGTGTTTTACTGAGAGCCTCCT